CTCAAGCGATACTCCAATCATTTGAGTCTGGCTCATTTGGAACCGGCAAAGTTGTCTAGTCCGTGTAAGAATCACCGAGTTTTTAAACCCGGTTTTATGTCATACTGTGCATTGACCTTTTTTTTTTTTTCCTCTCTCTAGTTTTGGGCATGAAGCTTTCAATCAGAGCCTATTCAAAAGATTCAATCTAAGAGAAAAAACTGGAATAAAAATGATTAATGTCCATGGTCCAAGAAGACTCCTGGATAATGTCCCTTGGGTTTTTTTTCACTCTTTCTTACAACATACCAATGTATCCACATGATCAACAAAGAGTTTGATGTATTTGTCTTGGAGTTCCATGTTTCCGAACACTCGGGCCTGAAGGTCCTTAGCATTGATCCATGTCTCAGTGTCCTCTGCTTCCATGACGACCCTCACTATCGCTCGGTTTATCAACTCGCTCGTGAAGTTCCCATCCTCTAAACTCCGGCCCTCGATCTCTATAGCAGCCTTCCACTCGTTAGCCACAAGCCTCGCTATGAGCCCTTGGTCGAATACCAAAGGCAATAGCACGAGACGCTTCCCCGTAGCCAACCCCTCTATCACTGAGCTAGTCCCGCTGTGAGAGAAGAAGACACCGACTGAAGGGTGAGCCAAGATCATGGATTGGGGCACCCACTCCTTGAACACGAGTCCCTGCCTGTGAACCCGGTCTACGAACCCCTCAGGCAAACCATCAGAAGCCTCTGAGGGAGCATAGCGCGGGGTCCTCTTGATCCAGAGGAAGCGGGCGCCTGATGACTCGAGGCCCAGTGCGACTGCACGAGTTTGCGAAGGAGTGAGCGTCCATTCGGTCCCAAATGCCACATAGACCACTGACTTGAAAGGCTGCTTATCAAGCCAATCAAGACACTCAGTCCATGATTTCTCGACACTACTTCCACCATCGATACCAGTGCTATTATCCCTTGGGGCCTCATCCCCTAGCCTAGGGGAAAGGAACCCAACAGGCAAGAAATTCAAATTTCCAATATTCTTATAAAAACGATCAGAACTTTCACGGTTAGCATGACTTTGAAACTCTTTTTCAAGATACTCAAAGTATTTCCCTTCGAGCTCGTAGCAGGAGCGAACGATTACCATGTTGGAATTGGAGATTGTTCGTAAGAGGCGATCAATGCCAGAGATATCTGGCTCGGGGTAAGTGTAGATCCATAGGAGCTGCTCAGCTTCATAGCGCTGCACATAGAGAGAAGAGGAAGGAAAGCCAAACGGTGGTGACGATAGATCAGAAGCACTAGGAGGAGGGGTCTCCGGGACCCTTCGAGAGGGCACCATGAAGTACGCCACTGAGGCTGCATTGAATATGCTGAAGTAGGCGGTTGGGACACCGAATTTGGCAGCTATTTTGGGGAGCCAATATGGAGCAAAGTCTTGGATGACTAAGTTAAGGGGGAGTTTGGAGAGGATAGAATGGAGGAGGGGTTGGAGGAGGTCTAGAGAGGATTTCAGGAGGGATTGGAGGTGGGGAGGGAGGTCGGAGGTGGTGGCAGCTTCAGGGGGGAGGTCGGGAACGTGAGGGAGAGAGAAAGGATGGAAAGAGATGAGGGAAAGGTGGTGAGGGAGGTGGAGTGAAGGGAGGCGGGGAAGGACGGAGGCAGGGGCCAGGAAGGTGACCGAGATTTTGGCATCCGCCAGCCGTTTCGCGAGGTGGAAGAAGGGGAGTATGTGGCCAAAGGCCAGCCAAGGGAAGAGGAGGAAGTGCCGCCGGTTATCAGGGTTGTCCATAATATATGTGTGTCTCCGTGAGAGAGAGGGAGTTGATATTACTTCTAAATTTGTGAAACGAGATGGTTTTAATGGCGTGCTGTAACAGAGGAAATCATTGAGGGAGAGAAAGGCAAGCAGTTGATTTGGAAAACATATAAATATAAATGGGTGCGGTTTGAGTAGAGCCTACCTTGATATCCAGAAAATCTGGTTATAATATTAAAAATTTTTGTGCTTAAAATATTTTTTTATATTTATTTATAAAGTTTAAAGTTTAAAAAATAGCATATGAAAACTTAAAAAACTTGAAAATTGACGGTCTAAAAATATGCTACAAAATATACTATTTTCAAAACTTGAAATCTTTTTTTTTTTTCATGTCTATGCTTCTTGATGTCGACATGATTAACTTGAAGAAATTTGAACATCAAAACAGCATTTTTTAATGAAACTTTTGAGATAAACTCAAATTTGATTGATTACAACCTCGGCTCTATATAAACTTTTCCCTAACTTATAAACAAGAGAGAGAGGTGATGTTTGCTTATGCCATAGATAATGTATCATTATATACGGTGTTGATGTAGAGAAAATTATAGAAATATAAAGAAGTGAGAGGTGATGTTACTTGTATATTATAATAATATAGTCATATGAGAGAGCTCTTGATGAGTTCGGAGCTTATGCCTAGATGCGTGAGCCGAGGGACTGTGTGACTGTTGTGTGTGATGGTAGGCCTATAGAGACGGGGGTCAAAACCTCATCCATGTTCCATCACACGACATGCATATAGATAGATCGTTCGGGAAATATAGATATCCACCTTTGGGTGAAGCATATGCATGTGCGAGAGATATCCATATGCGTCATAGAACTGTAGTCGTACCAGGTTGTTCTTGTCTCTAGGGGAGGACCTATAATCCACAGACTGAGATTGTGACTCCTAGGCTCATCGACCAGACTTTGGTGACCTGCTAATGAGCCCCTGCTTGGACCGTAGGTCATGAGAAATATTGGGTCGGTTCGATAAAACAAGTGTAGTCTGTAGTCTACAGTTGAAGGTGGAGTACCCTGTGATCTTTGATTGAATTCCTGAACCATATGGATCCACTTCCCATCGTATTAATTTAATTGTGTTGATTTTATTATTAAATTGTTTTAGATTTATTATTTGAATTTTTGTAAGTCATTTGATATTTTATTTCTTATTTTTTGACTTATAAAAATGAAATTATTAATTTACAAAGTTATAATGTTTTAAAATTCATTTTATTTAAATTTTAAAATATTTATTAAAAAAAATACATGGGGCCCGTAGTGCACATGGGCCCACTATGTCGATATTAGGTGGGGCCCTACATACCATACATGGGTGGCATGCCCCACCTTTGGATACCTTATCTTGTTGCTTTGTCTTCAAGTTTGTTAAATATGGTAACTATATCTTGTAGCATGTAGTTAACTAATGATTAGGAAATATTGACCATATCTTATCTTGATTATTGAAGGAATATCTTGACTTGATATTATTGAAATATTCTTATAGAAAATATGAGAAGGAATATGCAATTTATGGTATGCACTATATCTTTAATAGATTTAATTTATTTAAATATATTGATGGGAAAATGATTTAAAGAAAGGTGGATAATGGTTTATACACCTTCCATAATGTTGATAGCCCATCTATGGAATGGATAGCTCAGATCTCTCACCCCACAAGTCACCATGACCAACGGTCCATATTCAATCTCAAGAAAGAGGCAAACTATGAGAAACCTTAAAGAAACCGTAGACCTAAATTTCATTATAAATAGGGGTGCTCTCCCCCCATCTCACGTACCTCTCTCTCCCATAAACTCTCTCTCTCTCTCTTCCTTAGGGGCTATGCCCCTTTCTCTCTACTCTCTTATTTTTTCTCTCTACTCTCTCTCTCCTAAAAAGGACCGGCACACCCCAACATAAAGAGTATCTCTCTCTCATGATCTAATCTAAGGGTTGAGAAAATTAGGGTTTGAGCCTATTATTTTAGAGTTAGGGTTTTGTAGAGATTTAAGGGTGCTTACCTAGTTTGGTCGAAATTAGCTTTCTCGGTTCGAGATTAAAGCTGGACCGTTGATCCCCCGCCATTGGATGTGATGACTCGGTGTGGGGTGTAAAAAGCCCGGTTGAGGTAATCTCCGACATCTTTTATTTTAATTGTTTGTTCTTTTATTTTATATTCTCAAACACAGTATTAGGTTGTATGAATGTCATCAAGTAGTTGAGATTTATTTTATTGATGTGTTATTTAATTTTTAAAATTTGAAGGTGCGCCTTAGCTCTACTATTACAGATGCATCTGTACCGCTACTGCTACGGATGCATCCGTATGCCAACTGCACCTTATATATAAGCAAAAAATAATTCAAGTCATAAAAATAGTGCATCTTTTAATATATCTAAATCGTCAATTCTTCAAAAATTTTAAGTTTTTATTGATCTTCTTGATGAACACCATCTTCAAAATTTTAAATTTTATAATTAGGTATAAAAGTAGATTTTTAGGCCATGTAAGAAGTTCTGGTATCCATATCTTTATCAAGATTTAGAGGTGTGCCTCACTTTTAATTGTTTAAAGCTCCCACCTCGAACAAACCACATCCATAATGTAAACAATGTTTCTCGATGAATCTTTCCTCATAAATGATATACTTCAGCCGCCCATAACTTCAGCCATCATTGATTGCTCCATGTGAAACCATGCTCTATTATATTTCAATTGTCTTTTCTTATCATCTTTAATTTTATACGATATTATGAGATTTGTGCCGATTTGATTTGATATAAAAATGTCCAGTAACTTTCCAACTGAAGGTCTTCCGGCTCTGGTCAATGATCCCGAGAGTAGAGGACCTATCTAAGAGTATACTTTAAGACTATTGGAATTTCGAGTATATAACCTCACCAACCTTTAAAAAAGGGAAAAGCTTATATAGAGCCGAGGCTCTAAACAATCAAATTTGAGTCTATTCCAAAAATTTTATTAGAAGAAGTTGCTTTGATGTCAAAAATATCTTCAAATTGATCATCTCAACATCAAGATGCATAAATATGAGAAAAAAAAAGGATCGCAAGTTTTGGAAATAGTGTATGTTATGACACATTTTTTGACCGTCAATTTTCAAGATTTTCAAGTTTGTATAGATATGTCAATCTACACTATTTTTTAAGCTTTAAACTTTATAAATAAATATAAAAATATATTTTAAGGCTATCACAAAAATTTTCAATATTGAAACCATATTTCTCGATACTATTTGAAGGTAGGTTATAATTTGATTGTTTAGAGCCTAGGCTCTATGCAAACCGCACCTTAAAAAAAAGGGAAAGCATACAAGTGTATACAAGATAGGAGTAATTATGCTCCTATGGGAGCATAGTGTACATATACTCCCTTGATTAGTAGGCTCACTTGCAAGAATTTTTTAACTTGAAATTTGGGATGGCCTAAGAATCACTAGATGATTATTTCCAAAATAAGAAAGGTTAAATTTTGATTATTATGATATGAGATCTCACCCTCTAAAACTTCAACATCTACTGTTCAATCTTGAGCTTTTCTCTCTCTCATTTTTTTTTTTTTTTATCCGTGGATAGTGAAATTTGAAAAAAAATTCCATTGAGATTAGTCTATGGATTGAAGAGGTTGCATCATCAAAATTTAATATCCTAAAGCTAAACCTTGATTGGGATTTACACGAGGGAGTAAACGGACAATATACTCCTACGGAGCATAATATCTTTGGCTAAAAGACAATGTTATGAGATTAAATGGGAATCGTCTAATTTTGGACATTCAGAACAAAGTAATTAAAAATTGAATTATTTTTTTGAAAATGGACTTCTCGAAAATCTAAAGTTGTACCTGGAAAATCCCTTTCAATTGAAAGAGTAAATGTATGCTATACATGCTAAAAGGTAAAAGATTATGGAATTGTATACTATGAGCTCCTAGTCATAGTCATTAGATATCAATTTGGATGGTTGGGGGCATGTTATGGTTTGAGGCATGTCATGACGTTGAAAAATTTATTTTTTAAATTTTGAGTCTCGTCAATGACACAATTACAACTACTTGATTTAAAATCTAATGGAAAAAAGTAATTGTCACCTCATTGTACTAAACACAAATGATCTCTTTGTATAATTGTCAATAAATTATGCGCTCAAGTGGGCAATGATTATAAAAAATCCTAATTAGGAGGTTTTGTTGTTAAAAAAAAAAACCTATCTAGGAGGTGAAATTGAATACATCTTAAGACCTATCTGGATGGATCATTTATTGACAAATATGAGCGCCACCTGGTTTTTCAGGAGTTCAAAGGGGAACAGTTAGGTTTGTTTGCTACTAATAGGCACACATCTTACGTATGGCTTCTTAAATATAAGTAGTGATAATTAAGGGGTTTGGGTCGTGGTGGTAGCATCTCATATCCTAGTTGCTGATTTTCATTCGCACCATTAACATCATCCCACTAATACTTAAAAAAAGCTAACTCCTAATTTATTTGAAAAGCTAACTCCTAATTTACTTGAAAAAATGGATAGGGGCTGTCTTCCCTACTGAATTACCAAAAAAAACAAGAACAAAGAAATTAAGCCTTATCCGTTCCTATTGGCACCATCATGTAATAGCCACCCTACTGAATTACCAAAAAAAACAAGAACAAACAAATTAAGCCTTATCCGTTCCTATTGGCACCATCATGTAAATAGCCACTGAAAATGGTGATAGCCAGCTGCAGGTTTACCATTGATAAAATAGTTCTTTTTATCTTTTAATACTAATGCCAGAATCCCTATAATCATATGTTAATCAAATATAACCAGTAGCATTATTATTGAAAGGAATAGGTTTATATTAGTTGTCAAACCTAGACTGTAGAAAGATGGCGCACCTCAAAGGTCCACTGAAAAAGGTCATTCCTCTGGGAAACCTTTTACTTCTAATTGATCATCTTGATCTCAATTTCTGGACATGAAAAAAAAAAGGTTTCAAACCTAAAAAATGATACATCTTGGAATGAATTATCTGGATAATCCATTTTTAAAACTTCGGGTTTCATAAGATGACCTAAAAAAAAGATTTTCAAGCCATTGCATGGGTTTCTGGTAATATAACTACGTCTTTCAACACGTTTTGGAGGTGTGCCTTATTTTGATTATTTAAGTTTGTTTGGACATTTTGGGACTAACTCTAAAAATTTAGACTCCTCACCTCCCTCAATCAAAGGAACATGCCTTCTACTAGGCCGATGCCTAGTGGTCTAAAGTTCCCTTTGGTATAATTCCTCTATTGAAAAGGAATTTATTCCAAATTCCATAAACATTTTGCAATTTTCAAGGAATATTCGATATTCCATAAGCATCGTTTCTTGACAAATGGATTCAATTTCAACACTTTTTGTTATGCCGTTCAATTCACGTTGCAATAATGAAGCAACTTATTGACCCCACAAACCCAACTTATTTATGAGTGAGGTTTGAGATCCGAAGATCCCACCCTCGAGTTGGAACCCATCTTTTACTTAAAAAAAATGGGTTCAAAATACGAAAATCCCACCCACCCTTTCACTATGAAGAAAGTTGTGCGATGGTTTTATAGTTCTAATGTCCAAATCCTTTGAATGCGGCATACACTTTTTCGAATAAAAGTTGGATCCAAACCTTCAAGCTTTAAACCCCGCTTCAATAGAAAAAATTGTGTTTTGGAACTTGAAGCTCTTAACCCAACCTTCACTCATAACAAAGTTTTGGTTTAGCCATCCAAATAGGGGAGTTTCTACACTTTCCCCATTGTATAGTAGATGTATACTCCCCTTAAGTACTTTCTCCCATCCAGCCATCCAATTTAGATCAAGTGAGTCATTGATCATTTGATCTAGGTTCGATGTCTCAGAGAATTTTATTTTAAATTTTTTCTACAATTTTTATAAACACAAAATTTATTACCAGCCATCATCTCAATGTGGCGCATATAAAAACAATAGTTAATGCATATTTTCAACTAAATAAAATAATCAAAATAGTGCTAAAATTTTCGGAGGTATTTTGGTTAATGTATTTTATTGCAAATATTTATTTTGTATTTTTTTACAGGTGCGAGTTTAAGAGAAGAGTGGATACCCAGAATTTAGTGTCAAAATGTATCATAGAAAAATAATAATAAATAAAATAGTGTAGAGGCATGACATTGTGATTTGGGCCATCCTAGCCACCCATTCAAAATGGACGGTTGGATAGGAGGAAGTATATAAGTTATATATAGTAGAAGTATGGAAAGCTTGGGCACTTCTTAAAGGGAAAACTTTATGTACAGCCTAGGCTTCAAACAATCAAATTAGAGCCCGACTCAAAACTTTCACTAGAAGAGGTTGTTTTGATGCTCAAAAATCATCAAATTGATCATCTCGACATTAAGATGCATGGATATGAGAAAAAAAATGGATTTCAAGTTTTGAAAATCGTGAATCTTGTAACTAACTTTTAGACGGTCAATTTTCAAGGTTTTGAAGTTTTTATATATCTGCTCGATTTACACTATTTTTGAAGCTTTACATTTTATAACTAAAGATGAAAATATAATTTAAGGCTATTACAAAACTTTCCAGTATTGAAATCAAACTTCTTCATAGTATTTGCAAGTGGGCTCTAATTTGATTGTTTAGAGCCTCGGCACTATACAAACAGCACCCTTTCTTAAATATTGATCTTGGGCAGGCATTTTATGGTAAATTTCCCCAAGGAAAGGTCGAAACAAATTTGAGTGAGGAAGACATTGGATAAATAAACCTTTGTTTGAATGGTGATGTAGACATGTGATATATGAATCCTTGTTTTTTTTTTTGGCGGACTGCGTTTGCTAGTAGGTGGTTGTTGGAGAGCGATTGTCGCATACCCCATGTGATTTTATCTTGGACCCGTTTCTATGCGGCCAAGCTCCAATATGTAGAAATGCAAGCGTCCTAATAAATCTATTTTTGAGATGGCTTTTAGAAGTTAATTTTTAAGGATATGTAATCTCTAACATGGAAATCATTAATATGAAAAAGTAAATAATTTTAAAAATTTAAAATAATAATTTTAGTAAAAAACATTGGGGCCATTAGTTTTCATTGTTTTTAAATGGAACACCTACTTACATCCATCTTTAAGATGGTTGTTTTACACTTTTTGGACCACATATGTCGAAATGCGGATGCTTTACATCTTTTGGACCACATATGTCGAAATGCGATCCACCTCATATGAAACAATTATACTTTGATCTTTGGACACTTACAAGTTTTGGGAATTGGACCCAAAAAGTGTTATATGGGCACGGGAACACGTTCCTACATTTGTGTCCTTAGGCATGAACCGTAGAACTTAATGATAGATGTCAACGATGATCCCTCAAAAAGGAAAAAGTTTATATAAGGTTGCAGTTTTAAAATATAGACTTAAGGTTGCACTTCAAAAATCCATCGGGAAAAATATTGTTCTAATGTTAAAAAGCCCTCTAATTGATCATCCCAACATCAAGATGTATGAATATAAAAAAGAAAAATATTTCGGGTCCTCGAAATATTGTACTTGCAACACATTATCTAATCCATCCATTTTCAAGATTTTCATATGTTTATATGTCTACATGATTTGAACTATTATAGGAGTTTAAAATTTAAAATTAGATTTAGAAATAGATTTTCAAACGATCCTAAGAATTTTTTACACCCAAATTTCATCATATTATAAAATTTTGGAGGTACCTCAATTGGATTGTTTAAGATTGCAACATTATTATGCAAACCATACCTCTCCAAAAATATAATAATAATAATAACGGTCTAAATATTTCTTTAAAAAATTATCATTTTTAATTTTTATATTCTTATATATTAATGTTAATGTTAGAAACTATATATCCCTTCAAAATTATGGCCAAAATCTATCCCAAAAATAGATAAATAAAAAAGGGCGCATTACCACATATAGAAAACTGCGTTGATCATGTGCTTGACTAATTAGCTATTGATATTAGCAATGTAGCAACAAATCTTACTGCTGAATTGCCAACAAATAATATTTTACTGTGGGCACTTCTTAAGAAGCAAGGATTTGACTGCGGGCACAATTCCACTAAAATGTCATTTTTCGTTGGCATTCGCTCATTGAGGGAGCTTTATATGTGACCTCATCCGCATATATAGAAAATGTAACCCTTAGTCTCAGTTGTCAGGTCTGAATAGATGGCTGGGATGACTTGAGTCACAATGTCACAACGCAGTTTTTAATTGTCGGATCTTAATTAGACCGTTCATAGCTTTTTATTTTTTATTTTCATTCTACAAATAATTTTGAAGCAAAATTTGGTGCATGCATAGACTTGACAGGGGTGCACATGATAAGTACCTTTAATTGTAGTATAATATATATTGAGGCATTTTCTCTTAAGAATAAAAAATAGCAATCATTTTGAAGGACACGGTGTCTGCTTGTTCGAATTTTTGATACTCATTATCATGTCCTTGGTCATGTACCCATGAAGCAATAACTACCAAATTTTATTTAAAAAAATCCATTTATTTATTCATTAGTGCATTATACATGCCTTTTGCAACTTATGCCTTTTATCCTGAAATATACAATTAGCCTGGCGTCTTACAAAATATAAAAGAACTCCGAACAATCCTGTGACTCAAAATGAAATCAAAACCTAAAATCCAAAACCCAATAGTGGTCAGTTTGATGTTTCAAAGCTATAAAAGGATCACTAGACCAGCTGGCCCATCTAAAACCCAATCTCCATCAATCAAGGATGCCAGCAAATGGGAACAATGGATCAATTTACATAACCCACCACAAGGATCAATTTGCCGTTGTCCCTTGAGCTTGTCACTCTTGTTCATGGATTCCCTGATAAAAGGCCTGGAAATCGGAAATCCACGTTATCTAGGACTTACTATATACTAGTTTGGTGGCGCAATTGATGAATTTGCGCAAGTAATCCTTCTCCAACTCTGTGTCGCCAAAAATCCGAGCCTTTAGATCCTTGGCATTGTGCCAAGTCTCGGAATTATCTTCCTCTGAGACCGCTCTTTGTATAGCACGGCACACGGACTCTGCAGTGAAGCTCCCATCCTCCAGATTGGCCCTCTCAATCTCTAGGGCTGCCCTCCACTCGTCAGCCACGAGCCTCGCAATGAGGCCTTGGTCGATGATCATAGGCAAGAGCACGAGGCGCTTGCCTGTGGTCAATCCCTCAATCACGGAGCTAGTCCCACTGTGCGAGAAGAAGACCCCAATGGAAGGGTGAGATAAGATGTTGGCTTGAGGCACCCATTCCTCGACTATGAGCCCTCTCCCTTGAGCCCGATCCAGAAAACCATCTGGCAACTCTTCAGAGGCCCCATGGATGGAGGCTCTCCTAACCCAGAGGAAGGGGACACCGGACTCCTCGAGCCCAATTGCGACTGCATTTGTTTGGGCTTGATTTAGTCGGCATTCAGTTCCGAAGGCCACATAAGTAACAGACTTGATTGGTTGTTTGTCCAACCAATCGACACATTTAGCCCAAGGTTCCTGGCGACTTTGGGCCTCATCCCCTAGCCTAGGGGGAAGGAACCCAATGGGCAAATATTTCTTATCGTCCTTGAAATAATTCAGATACTCTGTTTCTATGAAGTCAATGTACTTCTTCTCAAGCTCATAACACGAGCGGATGATGACCATATCGGAGTTACAAATGGTTCTTAAAATACGCTCAGGGCCGGAGATGTCAGGCGCAGGAAATGTATAGCCCCCTTGTAGTTGCTTGGCCTCGAAAGGGCGGAAACAGACTGCGGAGGGGGGGAATTTTGGAGGAGGTGAAGTGAGTCCAGCTGCTGTTGGAGGAAAGTATTTTCCGGTGACACGATAGGGGACGTGCAGGTACGCCATAGAGGCAGCATTGTAAATGCTAAAATAGACTGTGGGGATGCCAAACGTGGTGGCGATTTCAGGGAGCCAATAGGAGGTGAAATCATGGATAATTAAGTTTGGAGAGAGTTTGGGGAGGAGGGTGTGGAAGAGGGGTTGGAGGGAGTCAAAGGCGGCTTTGAAGGGGACTTGGAGGTGGGGAGGGAGGTCTGAAGTGGTGCCAGCTTCAGGGAGTTCGGGGACCGCAGGTAGAGAGAGAGGGTAGAAAGAGATGAGAGAGAGGTGGAAAGGAGGGAGGAGGGGGAAGACAGAGGGAGGAGTGAGGAAGGTGACTGAGATTCCAGCATCTGCGAGACGTTTAGCGAGTTGGAAGAAGGGGATTATGTGGCCCAAGGCAAGCCAAGGGAAGAGAAGGAAGTGATGTTTGGAGGAGCTTCCATCTGTGATTGTCGATCGAGAGAGAGAGAGAGAGGTGGTGTATCAAATTAGAGAAAGATGGAAGTAGTATGTGTGTGAGAGAGAACCAGAGGGATGATGTGTAAAACTTCATATAAATACAAACAAGAGAAAGAGAGACGATGTTAATGTAGAGAAAATTATACAAATTTAAATAAGAGAGAGATGATATTACTTGTATGCTTATAATAGATAATATGAGAGAGAGATGATGTTACTTGTATGCTATAATAATAGAATAATATTGAGAGAGAGGGAGGTGAAGTTGATGCAGAAAACTCCATATATATACAAACAGGAGACAGACGGTGCCAGTTGTATGCTATTTATAATGTATCATGGGAGACAAGTGATGCGCAGGATATGATAAAAGTATAAACAAGAGAGGGTTTTTTTTTTTTGGAAAAGCTTTTATACGGCTGCATCTTTATTTGAATAACTTAAGGATGTGGCTTTTATCAACCGTCCAATATTTTGAAAGGTCTGAACATAAAACATCAACCCTGACAACTGGAAGTACGGGTCCCTCAAACTCTGCAATCTTTTACGTTTCTCTCTCTCCTCTCTCTCTTTCTCTCTCCTCCTCCACCTCTCATCACTCTCTCTCACCCGCTCTCTACCTCTCACCATCCTCTATCTCTCGTCTTATGCGTCACTCTCTCTCTATACTCTCTCTCCACCTCCACCTCCACCTCCACCTCCACCTCCACCTCCTCCACCTCATAGAAACACCAGCCACGCCAAAAGAGAACTGCTCAATTATGCATCCCTTATTTAACATATTTGTAACATTTGCAACAATTTGGGTTGAAGTGAGAGTAGTTTGTGATATTTATTTTAACTCTTTAATTTTTCTCTCCAAAAATTAGATGGTCCTTGTTCACTGTTGGAAGATTCTTCTTCACGCACATAAAATGTGTTTTAAATAGTAATAATACTAATTGTACTAGCAATAGTATTAGTAATAATAATAACAACAATAACAATATTATTATTACTATTATAATTAATTATGAGTAATGATTTTATGAGACCCTCCCATACCCATATGTATAGGATCTCAAAGGATCACCATTAAATTTGACACAAATATATAGAAAAGACAAGTCCCACACCCATATCATAACTTTTCTAGAGATATGTACCAAGTTTAATGGTGATCCTTTAAGGTCCTACACATGAGTGTGGGAGGGTCTCATAAGATCATTACTCTATTATTATTATTATTATTATTTCAAACTTTGTGGTCCTAAAAATACTTTTAGGCAGAGAGAAAGTAAATCAACACTATGCTCTCTCAAGAGTGTGAAATCTTTTCATTATAATATGTTAGGGCTGAAAATGGTTGAATCAGGTCTGGATCAAGAATATTCGGAACTAAAAAATCTACATGAGATCCAAATTAAGACATAATATTCAGATCCGAATCCAAATCCTAAAAATGCACATAGGATCCAAAAATTGTTATATATGTATATATATATTCTAAAAATGATTAAAATCAAGTAGATCTATAAACATCTGACAATCTTGAAAATTGATGATCTAGATAATGTATTGCAAGATGCACTATTTTTAGGACTCAAATTTTGTTTTTTTCATCTCATATGTCTTGATGTCCAGATGATCAATTAGAGGTTTTACCAGCATTAAAACAACCTTTTCCAATGGACTTTTTAGGTGCATCTGTAAAACTACATTTTTAGGTTGAAAGCTTATATAAACTTTTTCTATATATATATATAGTAGGACAAA